GTATCATAGAAAGTCCCTATAGTTGACCAAGAGGATGTGAATGTGGAGGTTTCCATTCAGGAATCTCAAGTACTTAAAGTGACCCAAATGCATCCAATGCCCCAAGGTCCTCTAACTCCCTATATTAAAGGGGACATGACTAATTTGGAGAAAAGGTCTTCCCTGTCTTGACAAACTCATTAAGACTCAAGCTCAATTCATCATTAATCATGTGGCTGACCAAGATAACGTAGGAGTTTTACCTCAGCCAAATGGAAGTACTCCTTGTAACAACCCTAAAATGATTATTCTATGTAATGCCTAATGTATCTAGAATGCGTAAGATTGGACCGGGTTCACACGGATTGATGCGTAGAAGCAGACCTCTGAACCTATGAAAAATCAAATCAAACCAACATGGTGAGTTAGTTGAGCTAGGAAAGTTTTGGTCCATCCATGTAGGGAATGCAAATATGAATATTCACCCGAATGAGTCTTAACAAGACTTGAAAAGGGTAATCTTTTGTTTGGAGTTTCATGAGTAAAATGGTCTATTCTACTCTAAGGTTAGTATTGTAATTACCCTAAATATTAATTAATTGATATGATTAAGGGGAAATTCGGGTAGGGGTTGATCGAATTTTACCCTTATGCGAATTCAAGCTTTACTTGGGTTCAAATTTGGGTGAAAGCAACGAATTAAATGAATTAATTGGTATTTAGTGAATTATTTGAATTAATTAATATTTAATTTTCTTATTTAAGTAAAGGAAACTCAGATTTATAATAAAATTAATAAATAATGAGGAGCTCTGGTTTGACTAAGTCTCCACCTAACTCTCCTAATCATAATCCACTCATTCTCACGTCTCTCTATCTACTCTCACCCTCACTTGCACAATAATTCTTAAACAAAAGAAAAAATAGAATAAAAAATAAAGTTCATCAAGAACTTGAAAGGTAAAACTCAAAAACAAAGACATTCTAAAATCGAAAACACAAAGGGGTTCCTCGACGGATTGTGCTTGAAGTTTAAGTAGTGAGGCTTAATTTCATGGGAAATTGGAAGCATTGAAACAAGTGTTAAACTAAATTGAGGTATGAGTTTTCTTCTCTCTTTGTTCCTTTCACAAGAGACCCCTAAGGTTAGGCTATTCACAATTAAAAAAACTAATGTTTTCCCGATCGCATGCCACTGTCATTAGATCCTTTGAAAGATTCAAGTATGCGTTGGTATGACTTCTGGTAAATGATTTTATGGCTGGTTATAATTACTTTTTTGAATGTGTATTTGGAATTATGTAGAAAGGAAAGATGTGTTCCGGAAATGTGAAGTTTGTTAACTTGTTTGTGCATGTGTGTACCATCAATCAGCCACAGTTTGAAATTTGATATTGACTTATTACAATGTTATGAATTATGTGTGGGAGAATATGTTAAAAACGTTATGTTCATATAAGTTCAAAGTTGCTGAATTAAATGATAATTCTTGACTTAAAGTAACCTTGAAGATGCACCTAAAGATCTCCCTAAAATTTACTCAAATTGTCTTAATGTTTAACGTGAAATAGGGTGAGAAAATGGATTGCAAAATGGTGATCAAATATCTGAAAGTAACCAACAGAACTCACCTAAAGATGCACTAGATTATACACGAAAATTGTCCTAAATCTAACATTTAAAAGTTGAGAAAATGGACTGTAAAAGTGTATCTGGAAATTTGTTTCGGCCAAGCTTACTGTAAAAATAATTGGTTTTTAATTTTTTTGAAAATTCATGAGGACAGTTGGAATTGAACTCAAGACCTCACATATAAAAGTAATAAAAAATTAAATTATAAAATGAGGTCGGGGGCATTCGAAATGGGGTAAAGATCAAGTCAAAATTTAGGATAAAATATAAGAAAATGAAGTGAGGCGTGTGGGGTTTGAACCCACAACCTCTTGGATAGGTGAAGGAGAGAGGAGAAAAATTACATAAAGAAACAACAAAATGAGGTATATGAGAATCGAACCCACAACCTTTCGGCTGAATGAAGAGAATTAAGGAGAAAAATAAAATGGGGCTGTGTGGGTTCAATCCCACACCCTCTTAGTCTAAACGAATGAATCAAGTAAAGAGAGAAAAAGAAAATAATATGGGTTCGGAATTTGATCACTGGTCCCCCAAGAAAAAATGTTTAAGACAAAAATCAAGAAAAGAAAGGAAGGAAGTGTAGGTGTGGGGAATGGATATCGGGTTCCCTAGATAAGAAGTTTATGACAACGAAAATCATAAAGAAAATAAACAAAGTGTTTCACAAGGGATTTGAAATAGGGTTACCTTGCCTAATTACGTATCAACTTATAAGTCTTACGGGATTAAATAATTAATGCATGCTGGCTATAGAAATCAAAACTGAGACCTTGGCATACTTACAAGATGCATAAGTGTTTTACCACATAATATTGGGTAAGTATGAACACTTAGACAAATTATGAATGAAGCCACATGGCTTGTCTTTATGGATCCATAAGTCCAGTAGACATTTAAAAGTAAATGAACCTAAGATGTTATGTAATGAATGATGTGACCCTAGAAGGGTTAAGTAAGTGTGTGGAATACACTAAAAGTCCAAGTGCATTGGCATATGACGAAATTAACATTCACATAGAAGGGTTGAGTAATTATGAAGGGCAAGTGTGCTAAGACTAATGAATGTGTCAACAACATAATAGAGGCTAATGTGAAATATGAGAGCAATCTCAAATGAGCCTAAGTAAATTTTACCAAGACGTACTCACATATGAGAGTGTAAAGATAATGAGCACACCAATCTCTATGAACACTCTAATGAATGTATTAATGTTAATATATACTAAATACTAATAACGAGATGAGATATAATCTAATGAGATATTATATCTTCTAGTCTTTGAAACTATGCAGCCAACATAGGGATCTAGTAGGGTTCAATTCCCTATATACGCCAGCATGTTTTCGTTTCACTTTGGCTAGTGATTCAACCTCTTTTTAGTGTAGGGTAGACACATTATTTCATGGAGCTCACATGATATATGTCGGTTAAAGTTAAAGTTCCCAAAGAACAAATGAGAGCAGACTCATGTATTGCATATAATGAAATGAAAGATACCAAATGTGTTTGGGTAGGATAATCAAGAGGTGATCTAAATTTATGTAATGACACTAGGTCACATTCTTGGTCATTGCACAGTGAAATCTATGAGATTCTTAAACTACATCCTAGGTATAGCTGCTGTTTACATTATCATATGAATGAAATGAAATAGAGTACATATGAATGAATGAAGCAGACTCTGTGTTTGCTAAATAAGGCTTCCTCGTTGAGGTCCCATATGTTGAGCCCTCATTTTGGGAAGCTCTATTGTTAAGTCCATGAATCAAAGGTCTGATGAATATGAACAAATAAAATGAAATATGATATGTGCTATATGCATTTTATTATGTGCTATATGCAATATGTTATGTGCTGTGTGCAGTTTGATACGATTATGATGCATGTGACTCTCATGACATGAATTTCCTGATCCAATTTTGATGACTCCAGTGACTTGACTTTCCATAACTCATATCATTAGGAGAGAGCTATTCTGAATCATGCATGTCCATGGTGTGTGCTTGCATATACCCATACTTGTATAAGTGTGTACTAATTCTATACATTTATTTACTTTTAGGTTCAGGTTTAGGTGGACGTTAGAGCTTATGAGTCGACACAGAAGTTACCCAGACGTGGAGCTTAAATCCAGATTTGGTAGGCCCTCATGCTTTCTCGGATTCATACTGATTTATTCTAGCATAGACGTAGGAATGAACTAGTGCATTATGTTCCACTAGCATTTATTTTGTATTTACTTTCAGACGTTGTATTGGTTCCAATTATGAAAGTATATATTTATGACTATATCTTACATTTAATTATCTCCAATTAGATGGTTGTTGTGAATTCTTATGAGTTTAGGTAGATAGTATTATGCGAGATCTATGTTTTCTAATATAAATTTTAAGTAAACAAAAGTTCAAATTTTCCAGTAAAATTAACTTAGATGAAGTAACGACAATGTATGTAGGCTTGTCTGCAATTTGTAAGAGGTCAACGACGCCTGTATCGTCTAGGGCTTAGATTTTGGTCGTGACAAAGTTGGTATCAGAGCATTAGGTTAAATTTTGAGGGTAATAAGTTCATATCAACCATATTGAGTATATTCTAAGTCATGGTAGTGAAGTGCACCACTATCCTTAATTAATGATTGCATGATGCATAGGAAAACTCCCTTATTGTAATCTTATCATGCCTTCTCTAGTGATTGATTTCTTGGTGTTATGAGCGTATCTGATATTAATTCATATCTTTTTCAAAAAATGAACAGAAGAAGGAACGCTGGTCAGGGGAGAGGAGAAGTAGCTGCTTGGGGCAACCAAGTTCTAATCAAGGCTCCAGCTCTAGGAGCGGCCATGCTAGTTAACCCAGCTAGGTTGAATGATTCAGAGGTGCGGACTGCTTTGTTAATGATGTCTCAAGCCATCACCGTCCAGGCCAAGTCTATGACGGCCCATGCCAATTGGAAGGACGTTCAGCAGGAGAACCCATCAACACATAGCAAGGCAGACATACTACAGGACTTAACAAGGATGAATCCTCCGATTTATATAGGGTCCAAGACTTCAGAGCATCCACTGAATAATATTGATTACGTGCAGAAGATTTGGTGACAATGGGAGCCACAGATACTGATGAGGCTGAGCTGGTTTCCTACAAGCTCAAGGATTTTTTAATGTCCTAGTGTAACATGTGGTAGAATAGCCGAGCTTTGTGCGGAGGTCCGATCACATGAGATCTATTTAAGACAAATTTTAGGGAGAGGTTATTCCCTAGATAGATGAGAGAGTCTAAGGTTGAGTAGTTCATCAACTTTAAGCAGGACTCGATGACTGTCGCAGAGTATTACCTAAAATTCATTAAATTGTAAGAGTATTCAACTTGTTTTGTGTCGAACAACATGGATGAGATGAGAAGGTTCCTTAAAAGGATCTTAGAGGTATTGGAGAAGGAGTATCAGGCTTCGATGCTCCGTGATAGCATGGACTTTTCCAAGATTATGGTACATGTCCAACAGCTTGAGGATAGCCGGAAGAAGAGGAGAGTCCATGAGGTGAGGAGGCCTAATTCTTCTGACAAGACATGTTACAGTAGAGGTGGTGTCAAGAGCACTTTTGAAGTTCATGATCAGCCGAGATTTAAGAAGGGGCACCAGATTTTAGGGAACTCTAACTCTTATAGTAGTGAAACACCTCGAGGAGGCAGAGCCGAGCCAAATAAGCGCAATGGAGGTGATGTGCAGCGTCCTAGAAAGGAATGTGGCAAGTGTGGTCGTATTCAAAGTGGTGAGTGTAGACTAGGAACAAATGCTTGCTTCGGTTGTAGAAAGAGCGGACACATGGTTAGGGACTGCCCACATAATAGGGGTTATGCTGGAGGTAATGCTCGGCCTAGGCCTTATCCCCATAATGCTACTACAATCAAGCCTACTAAAACCAACAAATTCAACGCCTTGAAGGGCAAGGAGGAGTAAGAGAAGTCTGCTGATGTGGTCATAGGTATGTTGCAAGTTTTCTCAACCTCTATTTATGCTCTACTTGATCCAGGGTCTATGCTTTATTTTGTGACTCCCTTGCGTTCTCTGACATTTTGAACACTACCTGAGATATTGCATGATCCTATTGTAGTTAGTACTCATTTGGGAGAAAATCTAAGAGCTGATAGGGTGCATAAAGACTACCAGTGGTATTATGTGGTAAGACTATATGTGCAGACCCTGTTGAGTACTACACATGAATGTCTTCGATATGATACTTTGTATGGAATGTCACCATAAATATTATGCCTTCATGGATTGTTGTAGTACGTAATGAGATTCCGCTTCCCTAATGAATTAGAGCTTCTCTGGGAGGGGTACAATTCGAGTCGTTCAAGTCTCTTGATTTCGAACGTAAAAGCTAATAAAATGATGTCGAAGGGATTGTTATGATATCTTGGAAGTGTCATTGATATAGATCATGGCATTCGTTCCATAGATTATGTGCCTGTAGTGAATGAGTTCCAAGATGTTTTCCTCGATGATTTGTTTGGAGTCCCTCCCCCTAGAGTGATTATTTTGGTATCAACCTAGATTCCGATACCAAACCGATTTCAATTCCTCCCTACAAAATGGCTCCGGCTAATCTTAAACAGTTGAAGCTGCAGTTAAAAGATCTCACTGATAAGGGCTTCATCCAGCCGAGCATTTCCCCTTGGGGTGCTCTAGTGCTGTTTGTGAAAAAGAAGGAAGGAAACCTTAGGATGTGTATTGATTATCGGTATCTCAACAAAGTCACTATAAAGAATAGCTATCCACTTCCCAGAATAGATAGCTTATTCGATCAACTCCAAGAGTCTAGCTTCTTTTGAAAGATTTACCATCGTTCTAAGTATCATCAACTTAGGGTTAGGGATGAAGATATACCAAAGAAGGCCTAATGTACCTGTTATGGTCATTATGAGTTCTTAGTCATGTCATTTGGTCTCACTAATGCACCAGTTGCATGTATGGACCTTATGAATCGAGTCTTCGATGAATACCTTGATTCTTTCATCATAGTATTCATTGATAAATTCCTCATCTACTCTAAGAAAATAAAGAGAATGAAAACCATTTGAGAATAAATTGGAAGGTACTTAGAAATATTAGGTGTATGCCAAATTCAGCAAGTGTGAATTCTGACTAAGATCAGTGACATTCCTGGGTCATTTCGTGTCTAAAGAGGGTGTGGAGGTGGACCCCAGCAAGACTGAGGTTGTTAAGAACTGCCCAAAACCTCATACTCCCACCAATATTTATTGCTTTCTGGGATCGGCTGGTTACTACTGTAGGTTTGTGCAGGGTTTATTTTCCATTGCTGCTCCACTGAAAGCTTTGACTAAGAGAAAATCCAAATTCGAATGAGCGGAGACTTGTAAAAAGAGTTTCTAGGATCTAAAGGACAAACTCACTTCAGACCCAGTGCTTACGTAACCTAAATTTGGTGAGAACTACACTGTTAATTGTTATGAATATAGGGTTTTTTGGGTTGTGTTCTTATGTAGGGTTGTAAAGTGATAGCCTATGCGTCCAAACATCTCAAGGTTATTTAGAAGAATTATCCCACTTATGACCTAGAGTTGGAAGCTGTGGTGTGTACATTGAAGCTGCGGAGGAATTAGCTATACGGAGTGCACATGGATGTGTTCACAAACCACAAGAGTCTCTAATACGTGCTCATATAGAGGGATTTGAATCTACGTCAGTGGAGATGGTTCGAGCTGTTAAAGGATTATGACGTGAGTGTCCACTACCATCTAGGGAAGGCAAATGTTGTAGTTGATGCGTTGAGAAGGTTGAGCATAAGGAGTACAACCCACGTTGATGATGGGAAGGAGTTGGTGAAGGATGTACGCAAACTGGCCAGACTGGGTGTGCTGTGGATTGCTTCTTCTAGTGGGGGTTTTTCAGTTTATCCTAGTTCTGAAGCATACTTGGTACCTGAAGTCAAGAAGGGTCATCATCTTGATTCTATGTTGATGGAGTTGAAGGACTCAGTGCTGGTAAAGTTGAATGAGTCCTTTTCTTTTGGAGGTGTAGATATATTTAGGTACCAGGACAGGCTGTGTGTACCAGATGTGGACTATTTGTGGACCAAGATTATTGTAGAGGCCCATGGTTCTAGGTATTCGATACATCCAGGTTCCCCCAAGATGTATCATGACCTCAACCTTATCTATTGGTGGGATGGAATGAAGAAGGACATTGCTGAGTACGTGGCCAAGTGTCCTTATTGTCAGCAGGTTAAGGCAGAGCACCTTAAGCCTTGTAGTCTCACTCAGATGATTGAGGTCTCGACTTTGAAATGGGAGGCCATTAACATGGACTTTGTGGTTGGTCTTCCGAGGACTAGGAGACAACATAACTCTGTATGGGTTATTGTGGACACGATGACTAAGTTTGCCGAATTTAAACCTGTGAAGTCTACTTACAGGGATGAGGATTATCTGACTCTCTACATTGATGAGATTGTGAGGTTGAATGGGATTCTTTTGTCTACCGTTTCAGATAGAGGATCTTAGTTTACTTAGTATTTATGTAGATGCTTCCAAAAGCGCTTAGGCACTCAGGTAAAGCTCAGTACTGCCTTCCATCCCCAGACACATAGGGAGGCAGAGCGCACCATTTAGACATTGAAGGACATGTTGAGGGAGTGTGTGATCGATTTCAAAGGTAGTTGGGACGACCATCTACCATTAATAGAGTTATTTTATAGTAACAATTATCACTCTAGTATTGGAATGGCACCATTTAAGGCACTATATGGTAGGAGGTGTAGGTCTCTAGTCGGGTAGTTCTAGGTTGGAGTGTCATCCATTATGGGTCCAGAGATCATTCATGAGTCCTTAGAGAAGATCGGAGTGATAAGGAACAGGTTCTGTACAGCTGGCAGTCGGCAAATGTCTTATGCAGATAACAGGAAGCGGCCTTTAGAGTTTGATGTTGGTGACAAAGTATACTTGAATATATCACCCATGAAGGGGATGATAAGGTTTGGCAGGAAGGGGAAGTTGAGTCCGAGGTACGTCGGGCCATACGAGATTCTACAGTGTGTGGGTGAGGTGGCCTATGAGTTGATCTTGCCTATGGAGATAGCTTCTGCTCATCCAGTCTTTTATTTCTCTATGTTAAATAAGTGCCTTTGTGATCCAGTATCTATTTTGCCTATTGAAGGTTTGAGGGTTGATGAAGACTTCTCCTATGAATAGATTCCTATTGAGATTTTAGACCGACATGTAAAGCGGTTGAGAAAAAAAGTTGCCACAGTGAAGGTGTTGTAGAGGAACTATCTTATTGAGGGTGCTACGTGGGAGGCTGAGGACGTTATTAGATCCCGCTATCATCATCTTTTGATCTCTTGAGGTTAGACTCCTTACTCTTAAGTCTAATTTTCATTGTCTCCTCTCTTCTTTGTTGATATTGCTTGACTGTGTAAAGTACTTATGTTATGATATGACTGGTATGGTATGAGATAATGAGAAGTGTCATTAGGGGACAAATGTTCCTAAGGAGGGAATAATGTAACAACCCTAAAATGACTATGCTAAGTAATACCCAATGTATCAAGAATGCCTATGATTAGACCAGGTTCACACGGAGCGATGTATGTAGAATAAGACCTCTGAACCTATGCAACAACCAAGCCAACCAACTTGGTGAGTTAGTTGAGCTAGGCAAGGTTGGGTCCATCCATGTAGGGCACCTGAATATGTAGATCCACTTGGATGAGTCTTAGCAGGACTTGAAAGGGGTAATCTTATGTTTTGAAGGTCTAGGGGTAAAATTGTCTTTTCCAGGCAAAAGGTAGTATTGTAATTACCATAAATATTAATTAATTAATGTGATTAATGTGAAATTCGGGTAGGGGTTGACTGAATTAGACCCTTATGTGAATTTAAGATTTACCCAGGTTCGAACCTGGGTAGAAGCAACGAATTAATTAAATTAATTGGTATTTAGTGAATTACTTAATACTTAAATTTATGATTTAAGTAAAGTAAAATAAGATTTATAATAAAACTAATAAATAATGAGGAGTCCTAGTTTTACTAAGTCTCCATATAACTCACTTAATCCTAATACACTCATTCTCATGTCTCTATATCTACTCTCACCCTCACTGGCACGATCAGTCTTCAACAAAATAAAAAGAACACAACAAAAAATAATGTTTACAAAGAACTGGAGCGCTAAAACTCAAAAGCAAAGAGATTCTAAAAATGAACACAAAAAGGGGTTCCTCGATAGGTTGTGCTTGAAGTTTCGGTGGTGAGGCTTGATTTAATTTGAAATTGGAAGTATTGAAACAAGTTCTAAGCAACATTAAGGTATGGGTTTTCTTTTCTCTTGGTCCCTTTACAAAGATATTCCTAAGGTTCAGACTATTCATAATTGAAAAAATAACGTTGTCCTATTTGGATGCCCCTGTCATTAGATCCTTTGAACGATTCAAGTATGAGATAGTATGACTTCTGGTAGATGATTTTAGGGCTGGTTGTGATTACGTGTTTTAATGTGTATTCGGAATTATGTAGAAATGAAAGAGGTGTTTCGAAAATGTGAAGTTTGTTATTCTGTGAGTGCATGTGTGTGCCGTGAATTAGCCACAGTTTAAAGCTTGATAATGACATGTTAAAATGTTATGAATTATGTGTGTGTGAATATGTTGATTTTCATATAAGTTCAAAAGTTGCTGAATTAAATGATAATTCTTGACTTAAAATAAACTTGAAGATGCACCTAATGATCTCATAAACTACTAGACATTTATTAATATTTAACGTGAAAGAGTGTGAGAAAATGGACTGCAAAAAGGTGAAAAAATTCAGAAAGTAACCATGAGAACTCACCTAATGATGCACTATATGCTATATGAAAATTGTCCTAAATCTAACATTTAAAAGTTGGGAAAATGGACTTCAAAAAGGGTGAGCAAATTTCCAGCATTCTAAAAATTTGTTTCGGTCAAGCTTACGATAAAAAAAATTGTTTTAAATTTTTTTTAAAAAAGCATGAGGTTAGTGGTAATTTTACCCAAGACCTCACCATACACAAGTAATAAAAAATTAACTAATAAAATGAGAGGGGGGATTAGAAATGGGGTAAAGCTCAAGTTAAAAGTTCAGAGAAAAATGTAAGAAAATGAAGTGAGGCGTGTGGGGTTCGAAACCACAACCTCATGGATTGGTGAATTAGAGGAGAAAAATGAAATAAAAAAAATAATAAAAAGAGGTATGTGAGAATAAAAACCACAACCTTTCAGCTGAATGAAGAGAATAAAAGAGAAAAATAAAATGGGTCTATGGGGGTTCGATCCCACATCCTCTTAGTCAAAATGAAGAAATCAGGTAAAGAGATAAAAAGAAAAGAATTTGGGCGTGCGGATTCGATATTGGGTCCCCCAGGCCAAAATCTTTAAGACAAAAATCAAGAAAGGGAAGAAAGGAAGTGAAGGTGTGGGGAATGGATCTTGGGTTCCCTATCAAAGAAGTTTATGACAACGAAAATCACAAAGAAAATTAACTAAGTGTTATACAAGGGATTTGGAATAGGTTTCCCTTTGCACAATACCAAATTGACACATAAGTCTTACATATTTAAATAATTAATGCATGCTGCCTATATGAATCAAAATTTAGACCTTGGCATTCATAAAAGATGCATAAGTCTCGTACCGCATAATCCTGGGTATGTATGAATAACTTTGACGAATTAGGAATGAAGCCACATGGTTTGTATTTATGGATTCTTAAGTCAAATAGACATCGAAGAGTAAGTGAACCTAATATGTTATGGAATGAATGATGTGCCCTGAAGGATTAAGTAAGAGTGTGGAACACACTAAAAGGAAAAGTGCATTGGCATATGATGAAATGAACATTCACATAAAAAAGGGTGTGTAATTATGAAGGGAATGTGTTCTAATACGAATGAATGTGGTGACAACATGATAAGAGGCTAATGTGAAATCTGAGAGCAATCTCAAATGAAACTTAAGTAAATATTACCAAAACATAGTCACCGATGAGGGTGTAAAATTAATGAAGAGACCAATCTCTATGAACACTCTACTTAAAGTATAAAAGTTAATATATAATAATTATTAATTATGAGATGATAAATCCTCTCTTGAGCTATGACGTACGCATGCTAGAAGCCAGCTTCTATGATGTATGAAATGAATGTAATGAAATTTTATACTGAACACCGATAGGCTAGCTATGAGTGGCGATTCCTTATTTCGGGAAGGTAGAGGTTAGTGTAATTCTCATGAGATGAGACTGTCCATCCAAATGGGTATGGGTATCCTTATATCTCCTAGTATTTGAAACTATGCAACCAATATAGGAATCTAGAAGGGTTAAATCTCTATATACGCTAGCTTCTTTTGATTTCACTTTGGCCGGTGATTCCACCTATTTTCAGTGTAGGGTAGACACAGTATTTCATGGAGCTACATTATCTATGTCAGTTAAAGTTAAAGTTCCCAAAGTAATAATGAGGCCAGCCTCATATAATGCATACAATGAAATGAACGATACCAAGGGTGTTCGCGTAGGATAATTAAGAGGTGAACTAGACTTATGTAATGACACTAGGTCATTCTTAGTCATTTCACAGTGAACCCAATGGGTTTCTTAAACTTCATCATAGAGATAGCTTGTGTTTACACTAGCCTATGAATGGAATGAAATGTAGTACGTATAAATGAAATAAACAGACTCTATGTTTTCTAAAGAAGGCTCCCAATTTGAGGTCCCATTTGTTAAGCCCTCATTTTGGGTAGTCTTAATGTTATGTCCATGATTCAAAGGTCTTATGGCATAATATGAATGAAATGAAATATGATATGTTCTATATGCAATATGATATGTGTTATATCCAATATTTTATGTGTTGTGTGTAATATGATACGTATAATGATGCATGTTACCCTCATGGCATAACTTTTCTAATCTGATATTGGAAATTCCACTAAATTAACTTTCCATAACTCATATCTTTAAGAGAGAGATTTTCTAAATTATTCATATCCGTGGTGTGTGCATTTATATACCTATACTTATAACAAGTGTGTACTAATTCCATACTGTTATCTACTTTTAGGTGCAGGTGCAACTGTACGTTAGAGCTTACGAGCCGACGTAGAAGTTAGCCCGACTTTGAGCTTTCATCAGGAGTTGGTAGGCCCTCATGCTTTTAAGGATGCTTATACATTTATTCTAGCTTAGACGTAGGCATGAGATTATGGAGTATGTTCCACTAGCGTTTCTTTCGTATTTACTTTCAGACATTGTATTGGTGCCATTTTGGCAACTCTATATTTATGACTATATCTTTCATTTGATTATCTTGAGTCTGATGGTGGTAGTGAATGCTTATGAGTTTACATAGATAGTATTAGCAATATAAATGCTCTCTAATATAAAGTTTAAGTAAAACAAGTTCAAATTTTCTGCTAAAACTAACCTAGATGAAGTAATGACGATGTATGAAGGCTTGTATGTGACATCTGAGAGGTCAACGACGTCGGTCTTATCTATGGTCTACATTCCAGTCGTGACTGTACAACTTTTAGAATGAGGGATTTCATTAGGATGGACGTTCGTACTTTCAATCAGCAAGGTGGATAAGATCCACAAGGATTCATAGATGACGTGTTCAAGGTGGTGGATGCTATGGGTGTGAATACTAGTGATATCATAGCTAGCCGCTAATCAACTCAAAGATGTGGGTCAAGTGTGGTTTGAGAAATGGAGGAATGAGATACCCTTTGGGGAAGATTTGATAGATTGGGTAGTGTTAAATAGGCTTTTCTTGATAGATTCGTCCACTTAGAGTTGCGGAAGAGAAAGTTGGTGGAATTCATGAACCTTCATCAAGGGAGTATGAATGTGAAGGAGTACTCTCTCAAATTCACACATCTCTCTAAGTATGCCCCAATTTTAGTAGCAAACCCTATGTCTATAATGAATAAATTAGTGATGGGTGTCTAGCTTGATGAAAAAGAAGGGCCATAGGACAATGCTTCTTAAGGATATGGATATCTCTAGGCTAATGATGTATGCTTAACAAATTGAGGAGTCCAAGCTTTGGGAGAAAAGTAGAGAGGGGAAGAGGCCTATTTCGGATGAACCAAGTCAATTAAAGTCTAAGAAAAGGTTCTATAATCATGAATCTTCCATGACGAACAAGGATAGGGATCAAA